AGAGCAAAAACATGGACCAACTGTAGATCCCCAAGGACCGGACTGGAAAACACTGCTATAGATCAAAGTGGATGAGATGAAGAGGGTGATACATGTAAACCATTTAAAAACATTTCTTAATAAGGCCTTACAGCTCAACATACCAATGCTATGGGGCAACATTAAAGAAAGTACAGCCTTTCTGAGAGGTCTAGCTCATGCCTAATTCACACTTCATTTCCCAGTCTATAGACGGGGTGATAATGATGAGTGTGGGAACAATGCCATGGGTTAAACAATGAATGTATGAAATAAAATATTTTAAAATGTTTATTATTTTCAGAAATCTTAAGCTCTAGTTGAAAAATGGCTGTTATATCGAGGGCAGCAGGTTATTACCTCATTGAGTTACGTAGTACAAACACTGGAGCACTGGGAGTTCCCAAAAGCTGACACCAGTAATGCTGGAGCTCACCAATCACTGCAACTCACCTCTAGCCTCCCAGCAGCCTGGAAGTCATCTTTCATCAGTGGTGATTCCATGATAATGAAAAAAAGACACTTAATTTTGCCATTGGAAAAAAGGATTGCACAACACTCAAAGACTATTTTTAGTAATCTTAAGCATTTTGATTATAAGCTGCCACTTTTATTACATAAATGTGGTTAATATAACCTGTATCTGGGCCTGAAAACCTTTAGGTCAAATGTCTGTACTTTGACAAACTTAGCTACCTGCTGGTATGACGGTGACTATGGTACCGTTATCATCACTGTTTCTTTGGCAATAAAAGGCATAACTGTCGTAACAGGCACTTAAACTAAGGTAGAAACAAAACAGATGATTTATCATGGCTTTTATTTGGCTAGGATGGGGCAAGAAGTTAAGTTATAATCAGTGCTACCTGATTCCGCATTTAGTGTGCTTTTATAGCTCATTAATACATGTGGCCCATTACATGCAAAGGTTTGTTGTCAGAGTCGGTGCCTATCTGGCCCTGTCCCATTTGTTTTGTCCCAGTTTGGCCAGCAAACACCGCTGACCATCCTGTTCCCTCTGTCTTGTACCCCCTAAGCCCCTAGTGTGTTTCCCAGTGCCCTGGGCTACCATGTAGCTCAATGGGTCAAATGAGTGGCTCAGAAGCTACCCTCTTTTTTCATCCCTTCACCATACCCACCGTAACATCTGTCTGATATCACATCCATAATGCTAAAGAAATTCTATGTATTTCTAACATGTATATTAATATCTTAATATTGAGGATTTTGTCTATATTCAACCTAAGGGGTTACCTGATATGATATGCAAATTGACTCACTAATACTAAGGTTGCTCTGAGGTTTTTTGTTTGCCAATGAGTGTAAAAGTCAGATCCATGATGTTGCAATGAATTGCCCAAGTATATATTTGTGTGATAAATGTAAGAATTACATTTACAAATTGCTGATCATGTCATAGTCTGTGACGACTAATATATCTTAATGAGAAACTAACCAAAAATTATATCATAACTTTGTATTCGAGTTGTGATAAATATTCCATATAACTAAAACTTTTAATTCACCGACTGGGTGAATAAAATTATTCATAATGTAGCTTTTAAACAGTGATGTACACAGACTTTGAGGGACAGGTGCTCAAATGATGGGCGTGGCAAACCGGTACATTTTGCCAGTCGGGTCTGCCCTCTTGGTAAATTTCCGTGATTGGGGTTCCCCTAGGGAGATTCATGAATGATTGTCATTTATCTAAAGAGGGCACTAGGGAGATCAAAAGGGGGCACTTTCAATCATTCAGGCAAAAGGGACTGGTTCTAAGGTCAGCATGCCTGATTTTGATCCAATTCTTTAATACATCATCTTAACACCCAGCCTCCAGTCCCTGGTAACCCAAGCCCAACCTTGAATTTTCAAACCGTCGAATTTTCAAATCAGCACCCTGCCCTCGGTCAATAAATCCCATCATGCAGTCACTAACCCCCAGCCTTCAACCCTGAGTGCCCAGTTACTTCAGCTCCCAAATGGCCACAGCTGACAATCAAGCTCCGTCTACGTTGCTTCTCATCTTCACACGCTTCCAAGTCCCTCTGTCACTTTGGCCTCCGTGCATGGCATTGACCCATCTACGCTTTGCTGCAATGCTTGATATTGCTTTTCCGTTGAAAGTTACACAGTTTTCAGTTCACTGGGCAAAACAATAGGAAGAGATTGCTTTAAAAAAGGTCACCCAGAAGCTCACAGGAACAAAGCTATGGTCAAGCTAAGCCCAGGGGGTCCCCATTATGGTAATGTGCTCATGCAGCACTAACAACCATGACCAAGTTAACCATGAGGTGGCCCCTTTCTCATTGGGTGAAAGTTTCCCTACCGGCAGGTAAAGAAGGCAAGTACTTTAGAAAATGGTTCAAGTGGATTGTAAGTAACACGTAAAATAACGATGTTTCTCAACATAAATCTTCCCATGGTAGTTACTTAATTTTGTAATATAGTCAAAATTAAAGATAAAGAATACTCTGTCAACTTAGTTATATATGTATTTTTTAATAAATATGCCCCCTCCACATAACATCTAAAAAATGTAAGTTACTGCAACTTCTGGACGTGAGTTTCATCTACACAGCAGCTTTGGGCGTTTTTCTGCTGCACACGGTACCATATACTTTTTGATACGGTACTTAAAGGTACTTTACCTTTTCCATTGACTTATAATTTCCGTACAGAATTTAAACTAAGAAAAATCCTGATCTTAATCTAACCGACTAGCGATGTAAGAATTGTTTTAGTATCGCACGTCGTCCAGCCCGATGACACAGTAGCACCAGCGAAATGCGCGGAGCATGCTGGGACATTGAATATAGCCTCCTCTTTGACAATGTTAATATTTGTTGCATTTCCCAAATGTCGTGTGTGGATGCTCTTCTCTTACGTGAACCCTATCCGATCCTCGCATGTCTTTAGCGTTGTATAAATTACTCACCGTGTGTCTACTTTACTGTCCAGCGTCAGACCTTCCCATGCTTGTAGGTAGTGTAGGGTTTATGGAGTCTGATTCTTAGTGCTATTAAGACTTCAATAGAAAGATTTCGCTCTTTCCCGAGAGTTTGATTTACTAGATATTCGGCTCCCGCGTGTATTTTTGTGAGGATGAAAACAATACTTTGCGGTATATTATCAGAAATACATTACCTAATGTGGTGAAGGGTCGTAGGAGGGAAATAATTGTTAGTCTAACTTTAAAATACTCATTTAGTTTACTCAACAATTAAAACCGAAAAAATCTTTTTGTAAAAGCATGCAAATTGTTGATTTTTTAAGTTCAGCCAACGATTTTTTATAGTGTACAACCAGGAAACGCGCCCCTTTCACAGTAAAAGACTCAGCCAGGTAACATGCTCCCTTTTAGCTTAAGAAAATATACACCTCTCGGGATAATGTATTTTAGGTTTCATGGATGAATACACCTGCATGTAGTCATCATAGTTTCGGGTTTCAAAGCGCTTCAAATATCTACCAGCACAACATTTGCATTTAACTTAATCGCCTGAGAACTTGGATGTGTTCTCCAAACGTGACACAATGTATTGTTGAAAAAGAACCCAGATTAACCACAAGCAGCCTCAGATGCCGGCATTTTTCGCTATGCATAGCCAGGAGGAGCGACAGGAAACTGGGATACTTTCCTTTTCATACTAACACGACAAGTTCTACTTCTGCTTTGCTGAATCTTAGCAATATCCACGCGCCTAAAGTATCCATCACATGCGAGTCATTTGTTTTAATTTGCATAACCATTATCAAACGGCACAGATTTGCCGTGTCCCACGGTCACTTACACTCAAATTACACTCCCTGCCTAGTCGTCTCTAAGTATTAGTAAGTATGGGGATACACGGGAAAACTTTGAAGGAGTTCTTCAAACAAGAATCCAAGTGTGCGGGTTTCTTACTGTGCCTTTGTTCTCTTGAATTCCTGCTAAGGATCGCTCTGGAGCCATGCTGTAATGTTAAGCTACATTGTCAAGAAAGGGGACTTGAAATCCTGATACTAGGAGGGACTGCACCTGCAGAAGCAACAGTTCATGTTCGGAAACACCACAAAGTAACATTTAGAACACGTTAAAATATACTTTAGATACTAGGTTACAAGGTTTGCGCAACCCAGTGGGAACTAATAATGTGCTAATATTTTCTTTTAATTACTTTGACGTCACATGCGTCTAACTTAAGACACACGTCTAAGCACACACATCCAACCAATATACGCGGTACATAGAAAAATTTAGTTCCATGTAAGTTCAAGAAAGGTTTCAATTGATACAGTTAGGCGTTTTATCATTCACACGCTCAGCTTAAAATGTAGTTAGTTATTATGAAGGCTTCTGCAATTATTTCACCTGAATGTGTTATTACTCGTTTAGGCCTAATGCTTAAAATTCTTAAAATAAAAACTTAAATGCTTCAGATATTCGTCTGTAAGGTGCACGTCAATTTATTTCACAATTAATGTCGCTTCCGTTTGTCATATGCGCTCTAAAGATATTAGATCCAGATTTGCATTCTTATATATATCTTTAAAACCTTCGCACAGACTTTATTCTGTCTTCAGTACAGTGCGCATTCAAATAAATACATTTTCTCCTGTAATTTTTTACCACACCCACGGACTCACATTCAAACACTGCAGCATGAACAACAAATGAGCGCGCTTTCAGTCTTTAGATGCTGACTCCGCGCCCTTAGCGGACACATGCGCTTCCCACCGCCGCAGTTTAGCCCCGTCCATCTCCTTTGCACTTGCTATAAATACAGCCCTACGACGTATCTTGCCATGTGATAAATACCGTGTTAGTTATTTTTATCAGAGATAGCACTGATACAGCTCTTCAAACATTTTCGATTAAGATATCTTGAAAAAGACTAAACGTAGACCTTGACAACAGACTGTGACTGTCAGTATGTGTCTATAGGCGAGTCCATTAATAACGACACATGCATTTGCAGCTAAAACTTTACAGCACTTACCCCGTGCGTGGACGCAGCTGTCAAAAACACAGCAAAGAGACAAATCCTGAAAGAACGAAACAAAGTCTTCTTTAATTAATGCCTGATTTATCCATTTAGGTCGTGTATATTTTTATGTGAATTAAATGAGTATATGATTCATAAAGTGTCCAATCTGCGTGCGAGGTATTGCCTTAATTCATTTAGTAAAGGTAAGTAAAATAAAAACATTTGTTTACAAACAAACATACCAGATCTTCATGTTTGCCGGATGTTGGGAAACATACAGATAAGGCAGCTGGGTACCACTTCAGAAGGACCTAAACGCAGTAACCTTGAAGACACTCATTGAAGAACCTACTAAAAGGTTCACATGCGCTTCGGAAAAGAGTCCGAACCGCTGAAAAGAAAAAGGCAAGCAAACATGAGACTTGATTATTTAGTATTTGCGCTAACGGATCACATGTACTTTCCCATGCAGCTGTTAAAGCCAGGAAGGTAATTCACATTCATCTGTCTAAATGGCGAAAAGTTACCTCAGAATACTTCGGCAGGAACACTCTCCCCTGGCCAACTTTGATTCCAGCGACCGTAACAATCGTTGTCGCATTAGTGGACAAGAAGGGGAGGGACCTTGAGGTGTCACTCACGCCAAATCCATTTGACACTTTTATCTCTTTTCATGTGTATATTACAATAGATTAGAGCACACAGACGCACGATATTGGATTGCATTTTTGGAACTTTAAATACGTATATTACAGTAAAACTTGCGGAGGGCAGCTGTAAAGCTCCTTCGGGCACTTCAGGCAGCAGATAGCAGCTAAGTTTTCCTACAACCAGTTTCAACGTGTGAACAGCATTCGGTTCATTTCTTAAATGTAGCAAGCAGCTCACGTGTTCTCCAGAAGCATTTTTAATTCATTTGACCGTCACAACGTTTTTGATCTTGCAAAAATACAATGACTGTCGGGATGCTTCATTGAAAACAATATCCACTTCTCAGTGCCTGACCCAGAACAAAATCAATAAGGGAATGTCAGAAATTATTGAGTGGGTATGATACCTGTAACCATGTCGTAGTCGTGAACTGACTGATTTCCTCCTGAGGGTGCACATTATTAATTTATAATAAATTATTGTTGCCTTCCCCATCTTGTTCTCCATGACTCACATATTGTGAGAGCAAGCTTGGCAGCCACAAGGCTGGGGGTTAAGGGTCTCGCTCCCGTGCCCACAAACATAGCCATTCTGCCAAAATCAGGACTCAAACCAGCAACCTTCTGACCACAGGGACAGAGGCTTAGCCCACTGAACCGCACACTGTGCTATATATGCACCTCATAGGCACCCTAGTAAACCCGGGTCAGTCCACTGTACGGAACCATATTTTGCGCTAAATAACAACAATAGCCTAATAAAATAATGAGTGAACTGCGTATTGTAAATTCTCGCGCCATTCCATTTCTATAATGTTTTCGTTAATTTAATATCAACATTAAATGAGATGCCTCGCGACCCTGCACTAGGGAAGCAGATGGGTAGTTGGACGCTTGGATGGATCAAATGACATGTCCGATATCATCTACTGTGGGACCATCCTTTCTTCATTCAGAAACTGAAAACACCTGACAAAGTTCTGTAGCAAATACTTTAAGATTCCCAAAACAACATAAAGATTCAGATGGTACGCAATGCACACGTTGTATAAAATGTGCATGCAATGTTTCGTGGTTCTTCATTCTAGTTCATAAAAATAAATTCTGAAAGTGCACGGGAAGCACATGGCAAAATATAGACATAATTATATCTGGCGGATTAAAATGTTAGGGCGACCAGTAAAATCAACAATCTAGAATAAAATTATTCCTGATTAAGAAATTGAAAATTGTCTTTTAAAATTCACGTGTCAGTTATAAATATCTGTAGAATTTAATATTTAAAAAAGTTTAAGAGAAAGTGTTATCGGGCACTATAACACCTTGCCGCGCATTGCTCCGTAGCATAGAAGTAGATCCGGTTAGCAGGTTAAGGGAAGAGAGAAAAAGTTGGTTAAGGTTGCAGTAGCGAACGGTCCCAGTGTTGAACGGTTTGGAGTCTTTTTAAAGAATCATTATGTTACTTTTTTAACAGCCTGTTTTACATTTAAGACAAGAGAGGAATATGACAGATCGCAGATGTAGTTTAGTAGTATGAGTCGATATTGAGTAAGCGGATTATTTAGAGAAATGAAGAATAAAAACTTGAAGAGTCTGGATAATCTCGCCGCGAGTCTGGTATTCATAATCCTATGCTTCGAAATTCGGAATTTAGAGTCAGCGGTGAGTACTGATACACTTATCTGTCGGTGCATTTATATGAATTAAAGTAATATGCAAAGATACCCGATGCACTCTGCAGATCGTGATCATACCCGCAAGCGTCTCCTTGGCTAAAGTTTATAAATAGTGTGCTTGCTTTATAACGTACAAGTGTTGTTGTTCCGTGGTCCTATTAATAAATATCCATTTAACAATGATTTAATGGAAAACCGAAATTCCTTAACACCATGCATTGATGTGATTTAGGTGCCCAAAAAATGGATTATCCTCATTTATTCTTTATCACTTTGGTAATTGCGGCAGCGGCTGCAGACATTGTAGGTGAAGATAACTAGGCTTCGCTCTGAGCGCACATCACATTTTTCAAAGGTCGGTCATGCCCGGAGACTTGTAGGAACACGCCGACTGTTCTTTTCAGCTTTTTTCCATCCGCGAACGGCACTTGATGAGATTTAGAGAAATTTTCTTCGGGGATGCCAATAATATTTTCAGTCTTTCGGAGAAATTGATCAGCCAGCTGTAGGACAGACACCGAAATTCCCACAAGACGCAGGCTGCATTTGAGTTGTATTGAGATATATATTAAGGGAGTTACCAGCCTTGCTTTGGGAGCAGCTCTGCGAGGACGTCGAAGCTGGTTTCTTATTGTGATGCTACACTGTAACTTTGAGTCGAGATGTAGGGCAGCAGATTGTTTGTAAGACACATGACATGGAAAAGCTTTACACGATCCAGGTGAATATAGCCATAGAGAGATCATAACTGAAATTAAATCACCCCTCTCAAGCAGAATTGGACCATTATAATATACAACTGTATAATAAACTGTTTTCAAATATGATCAAATGATCATTATTTTGCTAATTTATTATTTAATCAGATTAATTCTGCATGTTTCAAACTTTCAATGATTTGTTATACATTCTGATTAATTCGTATGTGTCCCTACATGAATGTTTGTGTACAACAGTTGATAACAATATCTTTCCTATTTTTTATCTCATGAGTATCTAATACTCCAAAAAATACACATCGCATTTTGTCGTACTACCCATTCACCTGAGAATCTGTGATTTTATATCTCACACAGCATAGATTGTCCATATTTGCATTGCCAAGGAAATCTCATGAGGTACTTTCTCAAAATTTTATAATGACCAAAAAAGAAAAATTCAAAGACATTGAATACAGGGGGAGATTATTATTATTATTTTTTTAAATAAAGGACATGAATGAATTTGGAGCCGTGAGCGCAAAGGAACTCAGAGTGTTGAGCCAACCAGGGGTTCACCTGCTTCCAGGAACAGAGGGTAAAAATTCAGCTCTCTGTTAAGACCTCAGGCCAGGGCTTAAAGGCCAAATACGTTAATGTCGCCTTCAATGAATTTGCACCATAAATATAAAAGGGAAACTTTTCAGAAGCGACCAAGAGACAAGGAGGATGCCAAGATAAATTGCATGAAATGTGCCAACAATGGCCACATAATGGCTTTATGTTATATGCGCATTAATTAGCCCTATGTACCCTTTAATTGCAGCAACAAAATAAATCCTTGTTTTGTCTTTCCAGCAGTATTTTTCTTTTTCCTGTCTCCATGTGGAGTCAAAATCTGTCACTTCATGGTACTCTTGCCTACTGAGTGCATGGAACATGTTCCTTGAAGCAATTTCCATCCATGGATTAAATATGAATTACTTTGAGCAGGGGGTATAGATGTATCACAGAGGTCAATATATCTTAGTGATAGGATATGGATAGAAAGTAGTTTGCAGTAAGGACTTGTCTTGTTATCCATCATGGCGAATGAGTATCATAAGATATTTCCCTGAGATTTGCCTGGGGTCTATGTGAAGGCAACTATTCCAGTTATCTAAGTACATTCTTAACGCTTGCTGCTGAACTGTCCAATTCACTCTCCATTTGTTTCTTTGTATCTAGGTTGTTTTAATGCTTCTACTAAAGCAGTCCCAGTTAGGGGGGCTGGCTTTTCCCCCGGTGATGTTTGCCTTGAGAGAAGTGCATGGCAGTTTCTCGTGTAACACCCTTTGCTACCACATGTTTGAGGGCCCCCCGGGTGACTTTGTGAATGATCCCATCGTGGCACGAATAGGTTCAGGCATTCACAGAGCCTGCATTTTCCCAGCATAGCTCCAACTACCTTCAGTCATTTCAAGTTGATCACTCAGCAGATGTGTTTTTATATCAAATTCGTTGAAGCTGGTTCAACAGTGAGTCCTTGTAGCGCCACTAGCCTTTTCTTAATTCAAAATTAAGCTCCTCTGAAGGTTCTTTTCTCTGAAGCTGTAACATCAACATGAATCCCCATCATTGCAAAAAGTTGCCACATCAATGAGCCTCTGTCATTGGCGGAGTTGTTCAGTGCTTACGGGTCGTTCATTACTGCACTCGCTCTCCAGCAACTCAGCCCCTATTAATATAACGAAGCAATTTTTAAACTGTCTAAAAGGAGCCACCATTCAGTCCCAACACAGCTTCATTCTGGGATTATACCAGTAGTATTTTTATGCACGGTGGTGTTCCTGAGTACTATCAGAGGCTAGAGTGGGAAACAAAGCTGGACTTGCACCCAGTTTCGAATAGGTGACAAGAAAGACATTCCAGCTTTGTGTGACACTGGTGCCAAATATCAAAGAACAGTGACAAAGAATTAAATTTATGAGGAGGTACTTTCATGCCTCTGCTTAAATGCTGCAAAGCCTGAAGAACAGTATTACTCCCGGCTGGTTATTACTAATGGGCTTTACATTAATATAAGGAATTTCTTAGTATTCATTCAGGAAGTATTTCTTAAATACCTGTTTCAGAGATGGAGCAGGATGGGATTGGTGATTTCCTTATCATAGTGACCTTTGTGAACTACCCAGTGGTGTGCGTCTCATTGTGTTAGAACACTGTGCCTGTGATTGGAAGGTTGTCAGTTCAAATCTCAGATTCAGATTTCATCATTGGGCCCTTATCCCCCACACTGGTGAGTGCCTGATCTTGTTTACTCAAAAAAATGTATGTTGCTTTGTATAAAACATCTGCAAAGTACATGAATTGTAACACAACCTGGAAGCTGGTGACCAGCTTCTTCAGCCAGGAGATGTCTCCTCTTGCCCTTGATTGTAAGGGATGCTGTTTCTACAGTTTAACATTCCTCAAAAGTCCTGCTCGCACAACTTCCCACTATTCACTCTGTGAATTAAGCCAACGCTGTCTTTGGACTGATGGCAAATGCTTGTGAATCTGCCCTGTCATTTATAACCATTTCCTTGATCATGGTGGAATAATTCTCTACACTCGTAGTGAATTCGTTTTAAAGACAGAGCCGTGCACTTCACAACCACCGCTTCCTTATTTACCGTAAATACT